GAAGGCGTTACCAAGTACGAGTAGTGAAACGCAGCAGCGAGCACAATTTAACGTCTGTGATGTTGCCGGCAGCCCTGTGAAGCTGCCCATCAAAGTTTGGGGCAAGCAGGCTGTAGAGATAGCAGTGAGTGACGGGGATGAGGTAAACATTGAAAACTTGGAGATTGGCATGTTCGGATCACAAAAGGAAGCTACTTTTACCAAAAGTACCAAGATACAGGTAGGTGTTCAGGTGTTGTGACAAGGGAGCTTTAGTTTATTTGGTAAATCGTCATAGTGACTGTTATAGACTGGACATGCTATTCAGATCTATATAGCATGTCTATATGGCTGGCTTATTGCTATCGTATTGAGAAAGACTTGTCATAGACATATTGAACGTATAGATGACATACATCCTATTGGATTTGCACAACAAGTCTGAATGATTGTTACAAAGAAATGTATGAACGTCGACTAATCTTACTAGCTATTTGTATGTATTCCAGCTGCACTTATTTATGCCTCGTAGTGGTGTGGTAAACAGTGTTTTTGATGCAGGTTACATCAGTGTCCGTTGAAGGGGAACAACAGGGAATACTGAGAGGATTTGACATTGAAGGGTATGTAGAGTATAATTGTAGTAGTATTAGTGAATGAATTTGGTGTTGTAAACACACACACAAGACATTTGGACAGATAACTAGTGGTTGATACGAAGGTTCTTGAAATGCGTGCAGTAACGTCAACACATAAGTGACATTTTTGCTCACACGTGACTTGATGAAAATGTTGTTATTGTGTGTGTAGTGACACTGTGACGGTCGAAATCACAACCGGTACGTCAGCTAAGATGTGGACAATGACTCTGGAATTGTTCGACACGCTTGGAAGTGAACAAGATATAATTCATGGGTTGGACACCATGGAAGTGACGTTTACGGCCAGCAAGGGCAAGATCGTCAAAATCAAGTAAATGTATAATGTAGTAAATCATGGTAAATGTAGTACACAGTGTATTTGATTTATAGTTACGTAACGTTAATCTATAGTTAACCTAGATCTACTTGTCCTCCGTAGAAATGGACAAGTACGAACAAACGGATAGCCCTTATTTTAAACACTGGGATGGTATCTGGAGCCTTCTCGAAGAAATGTTTGTTGGGATAGTTATGAAAGTTGCCACAAGATGGCGCGTACGTTGGTAGCTGGAAGCTTCCATCGTACGTCATATAGTAACTATTTGACTAGTTATGGCGTCAGAACTATCATGATTTGGAAACAGACTCCATGGAAAACATGGATATCGTTTTTGAGAAATGGCTCACTCCATTTTCCAAGGTAAACGTGGCAGGAACCGTCAGGAGTTATCTGGCCTCACTAGGACTTTTTATAAGGTTCCTGTGTGATCGAAAGAAACTTCACAGCGTGCCTTCTCTCCATCTAGACGAGGCCGAGAAGAGATGCAGAAAGTGGGGCAGCTGCCTGAGGCCTGTGACACGTAACGCTACACGTCAGACGTGTGTAGCAGAGGGTAGGGCCGTCTGAACAGGACGCAGCTCCTTATAGACCCTTGATTCCTGATGGAGGTTGGCGGAGACAGTGGGCGCAGGTTAGCACAAACAGTGGGCGCAGGTTAGCACAAACAGTGGGCGCAGGTTAGCGCAGACATTAGGCGCAGGTTAGCGCAGACAGTGGGCGCAGGTTAGCACAGAAAGTGGGCACAGGTGGGCGTCAATCAATAAAAAAGGGGCGTGTCAGAGGTTTCTGTGCGAGATGTTCGTTGGCTTCTGTAGTTTTTAGTAAAATACCAGAATACTGGTGACAGAGAGTCATGGGTATGCTGCCCCGTTCCCGTTGGCGAGTGAGGGTATGTGTTTGTGCGGGGGACGTAGGGCTAGCGTTGGGTTTACCGTTTTATATTTCAGTATGTTTAGATTCGTTAGTTTCATGTAGGTTAGATTAATTTATTCATCATGTTTGATACAAAGTTCGATTCGTTTCATGTCATCCGTCTGCTTGTCTAATCATGCAAAAATTTATGCTATTATGGAAGAGAGAAACCAGAAGCAAAGAACATAAGTAATATAATATAATAATATAATAAAGAAAGAGAGCGACAGCGCACGAGAGTGAGAGCGTGTGAGAGAGAGCTAAAGTGCTTGAGAGAGAGCAGTCCAGGAGGTTGTAGAAAATAGTAACCGTGATTTCAGTTACAGTAAATTGTTACTAAAAAAACTAATTACCAAATGATATGAGGAAGGAGGTTTAAGAATGATTGACATTAATATATTTATATCCAGTTTAAAACTGTCCTGGGTTAGTAAATATTGCAGACAGGAAGATGCATGAAATTTTGTTGATGATGAAGCAATAACATGTTTTTTTAGAGAAAAAAATGTATAAACTCCCCTTTAATGTTACACTGGTAGCTAAGCTTAGATACTTTCAATTTAAGATACTGAAAAGAATTATACCAACAAACAAATATCTTACTATGGTGAAAATTAAAGATAATAATGCATGATAATTATGTGAATCTTGTGTAGAAACCATTGTACACCTTTTTGTAGAGTGTGAATGTGTAGTAACTCTCTGTAGTGATATGCAGCAGTGATATTATATTCAACTTTACTATTGTAATAGCCAAATTTATGATATATCGTTCAAAACTATCTAACAGAATACCAACTTTTGCTGCAGGAAATGTGCTGTAATTTGTGTGGTTATAGAATCTGAGAGTCGAGAGGATGTGGCCTGAAATCAACAACAGAGTCAACTACCCACTGAAATCAGCCCTAGTTGAAATGGTGGACAAAGAAGCACTAGATCTCTCAGACCAATGCATCTCCAGTCTCACTCTGCAGGTGGCTATAATTGGTATGGAGAGTTGCGTCAACACATGGAACTGCCACAGAATTTCAGGTACAAATGTAAAAACATTCTGCATTGAGTAGATTTGTTCATTTAGTGCATACATGTACCATATCTATGACATACATGGTGTACGAGTTATAATGTGAGAGGATCTAGTAGTTAGACAGGTTTCATTATCACATTATCTTCCAGTCGATTTGTGACGATTTAAACACACCATACGGTGTTCCTTCCACCATTCAGGATGCGGAATCCCGAATAGTATGGCCGTAAACAAGAAGAATACCACTGTGACACCAGTTGATTTTCTGTGTGCGGAAACAGCTGCCCTGGCATATGCTGAAGAAGCTGGGTCAGTCCTGACAGATCCAGGACCATTTGCTCCCTCTCCATTCACATCTGTAGAGAGTCAACAGCTGAGTGATGCTGCCTTTACTCGATCTGTATTCCAAACATCTTTTACAAGCTCAAAAGCAAATAACGGATAAAGTTTTTCTAGCGCTAAGACGATGTCAGAACAAAGTCAAACCTTCACAGCAGAAGACATGCTAGACAAAGGTCAACGTGAGACCATTGTCAAACTAGATGAGGGCTACTATATATTCAGAACACTCCAAAATTCTCCACCTTATATGCAAAAACGTAAGAAAGACATTTTTGCAATGATTCGACAGTTAGGAATCCCAACATTCTTTACCAGTCTGTCATCTGCTGATACACACTGGCCTGACCTCCTCACATGTTTAGGACAGTTAATTGATAGCAAACATTACACGCCTGATGAAATAGCAAGCATGAGTTGGGTTGAGAAATCAAGGTTGATATTATTTGATCCAGTAACATGTGCACGCTTCTTTTGTCATAGAGTACAAACATTCTTCAATGACTTGCTGAAAAGGAGCTGCGCACCACTTGGGAAAATTCTCAATAGCTTTATCAGATAGGAATTTCAGCAGAGAGGCAGTCCACATGTAAA